AGACCGTCGAAGATACTGAGCACCTCAAGTTAGGATCGTTCTCGAATCCTGAAAAGGCGTTCCTCAAATTCGGAACCGGAGCACCACAGGGCGCTTTTCGCAAAATGCACAACGCCGTGCGGTGGCGCTTTCGTCCAGGACAGCCTCTTCAGTAGGCGTTGGCGCAGGAGCTAATGCCAAGTACTTGTACGCTTTCCACCAACTTTTCACGAAAGCCATGAAGTATCAATCATGGCCCAGTGACCCCATTATCGGAGAGAAATGGACCCCAAGACACGTCGTAGGATTACACAGTTTGGTCCCGTTTCACTACGACTTGAGCTTCGAATACAGGATTAAGTCTCATTTTAGCATAATTTGGACAGGGTTGAGGGCTGTGGGAAAGTTTTGGGCAAGTTTTGCCAAATATGGCAAATCGAGTCGTTCCGATCAGCGTGAGTACTTCTGAGCAGGCGGCTCTGTTTAATCGTGGACAAGGCGACCATTCTGCACCGTCGCAAAAGAGGCCATTGGTGCAGCGAATCTGAGCAATCTGGCTTTGCTGGCCTCAGGACGCTTCCAATAAAATGCTGCCAAATTTATAGTATTTTTTGTTCTGAACTGCTCTTTAACAGTGTACACCAAGCTCACAACTTAGGAGGAATTTCGCTGTCTATGATGGAGAGCATTGCACCGAAGTCCAAGAGGAAATCAGCTCGGGAGAAAGTATGTGAAAAGATTGCAGCGCCCAAAATTTATCCATCCGTGTCCCTCATGCCACCCTCAGATTCTTGCCATCGGATAGTGCTACATGTGCAGACCAGCACTGTTGCCCTTGTAACAGACGCAACTGTTGCTTTTCCCTTTCTCAGCACATCATTTCATGCGACCAACGCAGCCCTAGTCAGCAATGCCATTCAACCGCCATTAAATCGGATCCTGATATTGTGGGATGTGCAGTGCGGCTTTTTTGCATTGCTGTTGTTCCGTCAGACCCCTGCGCCTGACGGGCGTGTTGATATGGGTCCCCGATCGCACTTTCCAGGTACTTTCGAGTTCTTTCCGTTTGTTGCTTTGTCATTTGCTGTGATGATCCAAACCCGGGGTCACTTGCACGTATGCGTCATACCCACGCATGGGTATGGCGACCACATGTGTAGTACTAGTACATCCGCACCCTTCGCACTGAAGGTCGTCTAATCGGACGGCCAGTTGCCCGTTGACGCTTCCCGGAGCCCGCATTTGAGAGCTCGTCTCGTCGATCGTTTGACCATTACTTGCCTCGTCTTTTCTTGCTTCCCGAAGATCTGATAGTTCCCTAATTGTACAACCAACGACGTTACGAGAAACCTCATACATGCGCCGTCGCCCATTCGCCTGTGGGCTGCGGATAAAGGGGTATAAGCCGCCGGTACCCTGTGCCCAAGCCCATCACGGCGCCCATGCCCCTTTTGCAGCGGAGGTAGCTGCCGGGCGCGCCGCTGCACGCCCAAGAGGCCTCGCGAGGCTCCTGCGAAGAGGCAGCACACCGACGCCCGTGGCACCGTGATCGGGCTGCTCGCTCCGGTGTCTCGTTCAAGGCCGACGAGGTCTGAGGTGGTTTTCACGCAAGGTCAGTTGCCCAAATTGGTAATTTCGTCGCGCCAGGGCACGATCCTTGTGAATACTTCCGCACGGATAGCTTTGTTCCGAGGGCCCGACCGGCGTCTCCATTCCCGGCTGTCGGCTGGCCACGGTTTCGCAGTCGCTGAGCTGATCGCGCTGATTTGCTGCTGGCTTGCCGTACTGGACATTTCGGCTGGATGCTGTGCGTTCCGGCTGGCGTCGCCGCACGGGGACTCGCAAAAAAGTCCTCGCCTGCGGGCCTTGATCGCTGGCTCTGTTTTGCGAGGCCACTCTTGTGCTGTTGGATCGCCTGTCGTGCACAAAAATTGACGGCGAGACACGGGAGCCTGGCGTGTGCCGATCAGCAGCATAACTGGGCGCGGGCACGGCGCAGCCAAGTGTTATGCGCTTCCGCGTCCCCATCGAGCGCATACTCGCTCGAGGTGTTGGGATCGTATCCTGGTTACGGATGTGCCGGGTCGGTTGGGCCCCATTGTCTGCCCTTCGTAATGTGTGGCCACAAGCGCTGATTGGGTGACTAGCCGCACCAGCCTCGTGTGTACCTCCCCCCGTGGCCCTATTGCTGATATCGAGCAGTACAGCAGGCTGGGGGCGAGGATCTCCTGTACCGTACTGTACGCGCGGCCGTGCAGGTGGTACGGATTGGTACCTTTAGTAACCACGCTTTTTGCGTAAGCGGGCCCCTCCTCGTCGCATCGCCCCCTAATGCAGCCGGAATGGAGATCTTGAAGCCGTTACCGTGCAGTGGCACTTCTACATACCGTGGTGTCCACAGAACGCCGCATGGCAGCGCAGCTGATGCTCCCCTGTCTAAACAACGCCACAGAATGTTAGGAAAGGAAAACGAAGACAAAAACGCCAACCTAATCCTTACTTGTACGTCCTGTTATATTCAAACACTTGGCAAGATAATTTATGGAATTCATGACGTAAATCCAAAGCAGGAGCCGTGGCAATTGGCTTGCTTGCGGCTTTCAACAATCTGCACACGACGTGACAACAACTGTCCAGGCTGCGGCGTGTGTGGTGATGATATCCTTTCCTTTTATTGCGGTTTGTTGCCCCAAATGAATCCCAGAGCGTTCCGGCGCAAGAGAATCAAGCGTCGCACCATAATGTGCCCATATCGGGCTGTTTGCAGCTAGTCACACCGTGGCATGAGCCCGGCACCATGAACGTCCAGACTTGGCGAGCATTGTGCATGTCCATTCTTTGTCGAAGGGAGCACAGAAGCCTGCGATTTTGGCGCCACTAACGTGTTTGATGGAGTCCATCCGATAGACTCATCCTGCGCATTTGTCCAATTCCTGTTGGTAGTTGCGGCATGTGTAGCATGTCCTGCTCCGTATCGTGGCTTGGCACCCAGAAACCGGCCAGCCTCGGCAAGGGAATCTGCCGTGGCCGAGCTTGAGATGCACTTCTGCAACTTGCAGCTTCTGGTGCTGATCCTGACATCCACGTTTCAAAAACGACACGCGCTGGCCATTCATTGACAGACATTAATAGCTGCATGCCGTGGGTGGAAATGCTCATTAATGAAATTAATGAGGTATTTCATTACAAGGCCGCACACAGCTGCTTTGCGCAGAACAACTTTGGGGGATTTGAAGCTGTTGGCGCTGATGAACATTGCGTTTGATGAGCAGGCACCATGTTACCACGGCACACAAGCAGGCTCTACGAAAACATTTTGGAAGCCAGGGCCGACGAGCCGGTGGGCGCGGGCGCCATCCCGCTCTGGCGCAGCACACTCCAATTCTGGAACGACGACTGGGAGCGCGACTACCTTGGTGGAAGCCCCCTGTACAAGGGCGATGCGGTGATGCACTGTTTCGGAGGGCTTTCGCTCTTTTCCATAATGTGCAAAAATCGCCACAACCCGACAATCGTCATGATTTCGGTGCCCACCATGGCCAACAGCGTCGCCCAGGTCTGCTGGATCCACTTCAACAGGAGGTCTTACGAGTCCTGGCGCGGTTGGGTCGTCCCTCTTGTCAGAATATGGGTCGTGACGTGCATGAGCATCGTCGTGTGTGAGACTTCTGATGAATCGACGGTGAAGTCTTTGGGTGTGGCGACGTCCCTGCTGCTCACATCCAACGTCCTCACTCTCACCCTCGTAGGCTCCTTCCTGCGCGTCAGGTTCAGGCTGCACGTTGTGCTCATCTTCATTTGCGCCTGCATCGGCAGCCTTTTCGCCCCCTCGTTCTGCTCAAAATGGGGCGACGAGTACCACAGCGACTTCCAGGCTATTGCATCCGGCATCGACAGTGTAGTGGACGTCATGATGCTGAATATCGGGGATTCGGCTCAGGCGCGTCGCGACTTGCGGATGGGATGTTTGTCTGTCCTGTGCTTCTGGCAGTGGACGCTGGGTTTCTTCTTGTCTGGGGCAATTGAGTACTGCAGCGAGGCGTACTCACGGACGCTGTATGTCATATCCAACCAGTGCCCCGCAGGATATGGGAGTGGAGACTTGTGGAAATACTGGAGGCACGCTGTGGTGTTGTCATTCTGGTGCATGGTGGTGGGTTCGATATTGGTGTGGACTGTGCTGAAGATGGCGGCTGATGGCGGGCTTGATGAGAATCGCAAGACCTTGCCACTTCATTCAATGGGTTCTGATAATTTCTAGATGGCGCATCGCATGAGCGCGCTTAAGTTGCTATTAGAGCCAAGCTTTGAGACTCAGAATGACTGCCGTGGTGTCAAGGTGGTCCCCAGCATGGCGTGAGGAGCTGTGCAATGAAATATTGTGCTTTACATGGGTCTTCATTCCTGTTCTGATAATCGTGCTCGTTGTGAGGACGCTGTACTGGGCATGACGATAGTATTTCAAGCGCTGATGGGTGCTTCCCGTTGTCATAGTAACGGATATGTTAAAATTTGAATTGTGATTATGCGTGTCATCTACACAGTAAGGCTTGGCAATTCCACACAGACCGCCAAACACCCAATCAGAGATTGTCTCGCGAGAATGACGAGAACCATCACCTGAATGGGTCATTGTCACGTGATCAGCAGGGCTGCAGCGTCGCACTCCCCCCTGCACACCACGATCAACGGAATGGTTGGGGATAACTAAACCTCATATGGAGCGTGTACCATGGTATGCAGCTTGACACAGATCAGCCTGCTGGGCGGGCGCAGCTCACGCCAGTCACGTGGTTTGTGGCTGTTGCGCCGCTGAAAGGCGGATTCGTCGATAAAAACGGGCGTCGGCAGCCCCAGCCCTAGCCTGCAGCCCCCAGGACTAGTCCACTCGCCAGCCAGCCACGGGGGGCAGCACAGCCACTCGGGAGCCCCTGGAACAAGGTGACCCAGCGCGCAAGCGCTTTCCGTCAGACTCCGTGGTTCGGGCGTGGCAGTCTCCGCGCGCCCGGGAACATGTGGCCACTCGCGCCCCCTGCCCTCGCCGTCGATTCTTATGCCTGCGCATGCCGTTGCCACGAACACAGGTACGGGCGTCACCGATGAGTGCCAGGGGTGTGTGACGCGGGGATCTCTGCAGTTAGCGCTGGTCGACCCTCACGCTGGCTGTCGGTGGTGTCGTACCGGAGCGTGGGCGCATTTTCCGCGCAAGCCAAGGCAGAAGAGCTCCGCGCTTGTTGCCCCCGGCAGTTGAGATCCCTCTGATTGCCCTCTGGAGAGTGTGATTGCGGGCAACAGCGCGCAAGCGGAGGGTAGCCATCCCTTGGGCTCGCTTGGTTGACTGACGCCGCCCTGTCGTTGTCGCCCACGTCATTGGGTTCCAGAGTTGTCCAGAGTGGTTGCCGTGGGCCCGCCAGGGGCGACGCGCCCAGATTTGTGTCCGGCGCCGGATCTGGATCCTGCTCTTCGCCTCGCACAGCCTTGATCGACTGGATTGTGTGTGGCCACCGCTGTCCTGGGGCCTTGCCTTGCCGGTTAGTGCGCAGCCGCCGGTCACTCTATGCCGAAATGCTGGCTTGAACCTGGGCCGATCAGTTGAAAGCGTACCGGCACAAAACAGCCGTGTGCGTGCCTTTGCGCGAAGCGGAATCGAATAACTGCTCCCAAGCTTGTTGGTTGCGGCTCGTTGTCGCACACCGCACCAATGTTGGTACGCCATCCTTGCGGCAACAGAATGCGCAGCAGCTCCTGCGCGTCTGCAGTTTTTGACAGAACACGGCTCCAAGCCAATGAAGCAACTGGTACTACTGGTAGTAATCGCTGAATTGGACTGGGCTCCGCCGAAACCCAAATGTGTGAAATTGTTGCGTCAAATTGACGTCTGGAGAGCGTAATGCGAAGAAGTAGCCGAAGAGCGGCGGCTTCGAGAACATTTCTTGACAAGTGTTTGCCCCTTTTCTTCTTTTACAATCAGCCCATCGGAAAGTAGTTTCAAACAAGAGAATATAAGATGCATTGGTGCTGTTCAGCTGCAAGAAAGAAATGCAAGACTTCGAGTTGAACAATTATCTGGGAGACGTTGTGCTCGGTTGTTGATGTTATGTTAATGCTGGGGCGCGCGACATGACCATCTCGTTTCGCCTTGCTGTTGCAGCGATACATGCTCGTAGTCCTCGATTTACCTGGGCACCTTCAAACAACGGTCTACAACATCCTTTTTCCTAGGACCGTTTTCAATCCGATCTGAAGTAGCTGTTCGCACGGACAATGTCACTCCTGATGTTCAGCCAAGGATGTGCAAAATGGCTAACCGTTCTCTAACATCCTACTGTTCATCCATATGTACAATGACCGTAGTCATCATGCGTATACGCATAACACCAGATTCTTTCAGAACTTCTACAACAAATGGCGACATTTTTTGTGCTGCCCAGTGCCCATGCGGTCACAGCAAGCTTACCAGGCCCAAGCAGGTACTTCGAACGATGCTGGGCAGCCTTTGCACGAGGCCATGGGTGCCGCCCCGCTGTGGGACAGCGGCCTCACATTCTGGAACCCTGAATGGGAGCGCGACTATGCAGCAAGCCGCCCTTTGTCGAAGGGTGACGCTGTGGTGCATTGCTGTGGAGGACTAGCTTTCGTTGGAATTCTTCGCAAGCACGGCCACAGTCTAAAAGTCCTCGTCCTGGGAGTGCCCATGGTTGCAGTCAGCATCTGTCAGCTGTGCTGGATGCGCTTGAACGGGCAATCCTATTCCTCATGGCGCAATTGGAATTTGGTGGCCCTCAGACTTGGGATTGTGACTACCATGAGCATCATCATGTGCGAAACGTCGGACGAATCGACGACAAAATCGTTGGGCGTAGCAGCTTCCCTGCTGCTAACGTCCAACGTCATGGCCCTCACCACCTTGGCGTCAACTCTGCGCCTCCCTTTCAGGCTGCATGTGATGCTGCACTTCGTGTGCACCTGCATCGGCATGCTTTTCGTTCCCCCGTATTGTTCAAAGTGGGGCGACGAGTACGAGAGCGATTTTCGAGCGATCGGATCGAGTATCAACGGTGCAATGGACACGCTGATGCTCAACAGTAGGGAAACTATCCTTGGATCCTGTGGTGTTATCATGAATTGCTCGTCCATTGTGTACTTTTGGCAATGGAGCCTGGGCTTCTTCCTGTCCGGAGCAGTCGAGTACACTATCGAGTCGTACTCCAGAACGGCATACCTCGTTGCCGAGAGGATCACGAACGGCGACAGTGCTCTGCGCTTGTGGGCTGTTTGGAGGCAATGTGTGGTTTTGGCCTTTTGGTGCATGTTGGTGGGAGTCGTCACAGTCTGGACAGCTTTGGAGATTGTCACGAGCAGCGGGTGTGATGGGGTGCGCAGTTCGTCGCCGCTTCATTCAACGGTGGCCACCTTGTCGTAGCCATGTCGTGGATATACAGCACCTTGGGATTTTCGTCTTGTCATGGACGTTGAAGTGGGCATGGAATGCATGCACACCTCTTTCGTGAGTTTGCAATTGAATCTTTATGACGCAGAGTGCGTCAACATTATGCTGTTTCTGCCACTGGACTTGGTTTTGCGCTCAAAGGGGTCGCCAATTCCAACTCCACTGTCCAATCTAACGAGCAGCCGCCGCAGGGTTTGTAGTGGTCCTGGACCCTTCATATTAGCAAATCTGTTGATTGCAGATGCAAGGCATTCGAAAGCCAGTTTTGACACTTTGGACCGCATACCCTCGAGGTGTGCTGAACCATTGCGTTAAGCGCACAACGGTATCATTGTTGATACAACAATAGCGAGCAAGAATTTCGCCAAAACATATGTCTTTCAATGCACTGGCCGCCTCGGACAAGAGACTCTCAGAGAAGAACTCAGTTCTGACCCGACGGCTGATTGCAATAATAATCCCCAGAAAAAAAACACCGCCTTATGTCGAGCTGGAAACGCTGGATGGAACAAGCTGATAACGTACCGAACTACAGTTCACAGCATGCCCTTTTGCCCTTCCAATGAACCTTCTGCCGCGTCCAGCCAACAGCCAACCAAGGGCTCCTCAAATTGAGTATTACAAAGTCCGTTCCTATGCGAAATTTTCGATATTGCAAATTGCACTTCGATGGCCATGCCGAAAAGCCAGGCTTGCCATGAGCCAATCAATTGAAGGAAGCACGGGGCGCCAATGTTAGAACATTGATCCACAGCTAAGATGGGGCTGTTGCTTCCTTGTGCTTTGCAAAATGGCCTCAAGACGATTCGACTGAGCAATCCCAATGCATCTAGACCTTGCAACGTGAAACGCTCTGCCCAAAGACATCTGAACCCTTTGTTTCTTTTTGCCCAACATCGCGCATGATTACTTATATTGTGTTGTTCTCTCCACTTTGTTGCTCGCAAAATCGGCTTGGAACCGACTTCATCATTTAAGCAGTACTTCTTGTGTCATATTAACATCCCTTTAGTCACTTCGTCCTATTGTTTCGGAGCGGACTTGTGGCTAACCCTGGAATGTAAAAGTGGTGCATTGCACTAAATAAGGTGTGTGGGATGCCCTGATAAATTGCGCCATAAGATAACCGGCAAGAACCAGTCTGCTCACACTCTATGGGTACATACAGCTGAGAGGGAGGCTCCATGGGGAGATGATGAGAAGACTTGTAAGGGGATGCAGCCCCTTTGTGACCGGCCGGGGCTTAGTCCCCTCGTCCCGTTCGACACAGGAGTTGGTCGTGTGTATGCAAGACAGACAGGGAATGGGAACGGAAGCTTCGTGTTAACAAATCAAAGCCGGGCGGCTGCATTTATAGCTGCCCTGGTGGCCGCAATGTGGCAGCCCAAGGGGCACTGCCAGAAACGGTTTGAATGTTTGGTTTTGTCCAATTCGCCCGTTCGCATCCCCATATCCCGAATGAGTCATCTGTTGGTCATCCTATCCCTTTGCCCCGCACGGTATTCTGACCCACTATGCCACCAGCTGTCCATAGATATTTTGGAATTGTTTGTGTTCATGCTACTGTATTCACAATCCCGGTAGTTCCCCACAATTGCTCACCCTTCTACTAATGTACGTTATTCTATTGTACAGGGTGGGCACATCGTGCCCATCCATTCTAATGTACAAGTCTAGTTTTTGGTCAGCTTGTCCATAGTGCTCTAATATGCAATGCACCGAATGAACTCTCACACTGCTCTGGGCCTGCTACGAGGCACCCTCATCTCGTGTTGCTACCCGGGTGTTGGTCCGTTCTTTGAATTTACACA